ATCCTAAACGTTCTAAAGATGTTGTACAATAAAGTCCATATGACATTCTCCGGCCACTATTGCGGATTTATACGGCGTAGTGCATTGTTCTCCTGCTTCTAGTGGCTTAGAGATCCGCTTAAGCAGGGTATGGCTCAATGGCATTTTAGCACCTGCAGTGCATGGCGCAAACGAAAACATGTTCTAATACTAAAAGAATGTACCTCAGTCCTTGAAGTTTGTAATTACGAGGCGCTGTTTTGCACCCATGCACTGCAGGTGGTAAAACAGCATGGAGCCTGGCCTGCTCAGACAGTTCACCAGGCTACCAGAAGCAAGGGGTCGGCTCCGTACGCCACGCCGTGTAAACTGGCTGAAATGACTCTTGTTGTTTGTTGCTCTTTCTGACAACTTGCTAGCAAACCCATAAAAAATGGACTTTTGGTAAGACCGATATGACATTTGTAATTTCAATCAACGAGCTAACGAAACAAGCAGATATACTTTACTTAATGAAGATGCTTTACTTAATGAAGATAACCAATATTAATAAGGGCGGTTGTCGGTGGTACGCTGAGTGTAGGCGGCAAAACAACACTACACACGTCAAAATCAATAAAGCACTGTCATACAAGAACTTAAATGCTCTCCAGCATTGACACGGCACTTAGCGTTACGTCATCAGACAGGTTCCTAAAAATATTTGCTTTTGGTATTTTGCTTTTCTTAAACTATGTATAATTTAAACCTTTTTATTTTATTAATGCTGTCTTGCTAATGTAGTGTTCAAGACGCGTGCAACTATAATTAATATGCAATTCTCGGCTTGCAAACCCGATATCAGCTGTTGAGAATAATACATGCCAGAGGCGCAATTCGGAAACGTTTTTATTGGTAGGTTACTAAGACCATCGAGTTTAGATTTTGGTGCTAATGTTAAACGGATAATGGCAACTTTGTTGGGGCTCGAACGCGTTCCTGTTCAGCCCAGCTTAATGACGCAACTTACGAGTCCTATGTCCCGCAGACGCTTAAATACCATGGAGGCGTGGCCTGCTTAAATGGTCCGATAGACGACTAGGTGCAAAGGGGCGGTGCAAAGCTGCGGGTGAACCGAAGCGATATTC